GGTGCTCTCCCCTACCCTGGGGGTCTTCAAGAGGAGGGTAGATGAGTATCGAGCTGGGGTCATCTAGACCCAGCACTCTTGCCGGCTGATGCAGGGGGTCGGACTCGATGATCTATTGAGGTCCCTTCCGACCCTAGCATCTATGAATCTATGAAACCTTACATCAAATTTTGCCTAACAAAAATCATTATCTGTTCATAGATATTTCCCACAGGCAATGCACTACAGTAGGAACTGGACGAAATAGGTTCTAGTCCCAACTCTACGAATGACCTGACTGGACTTTAGCTAAGTCACTTAACTTCTCAATGCCTCGAATACTCCTTCAAGGAAAGAGTTATGTAAGCACGAAGTATTTGTCTAATGAATTATATTTTTAATATTATTCTTCTTCCTCCCAGTCCTTCAAAGAGGAGTATAAACATTATCAAGTTCATATAACAAAAGCTGAAACACAGAATATGAAGTTAAACTAATGGCAGATGGAATAGGAAGCAAAGTAAATAACCTTTATTAACAACTTCATTACTTTCAATGAAGCAAATCATTAGATTTGCATATACTCTACTAAACAAACCTTGAAACCATCAAAGACAAAAGCTTGTTCATCTGCACCAAGTTCTTGATCTGGTAGGCAGCCTGGCCTGGTCCAGCCAACCCTCATGTCTCCCGCAGTGACTGCCTCAAACTCAAAATACCACTTGCCAGCCTTCACTGCATAAGTTTTCTCTGTGCGGAAGATCCGGAACTTTTCCATTATCCCACTGCACACATCTGATCTTGTAGCTGTGAAAATTAAAACACATTTTGTTCATCTGATGACAAAATCAAATCAGTAAAAATAAAAGGAGATAATGAATATGCCCATATAGCATCCGTGCCACTTAATTTTCTTAATAAATATTTAGAAATAGCAATGGCCCTCAGCAAAAATGTACACTATTCCACAATACCACATAATCAGGGCATGAAGACACAATAAGTCAGGTTTTGTTTCAATGATTGATTACCTTGAGTGTTAAGGAAAAAAAGTGTGTCTTAATTTCAAGAGGAATGTATCAAACTATTGAATTTTCTTATGCTTTTGTTTGTTAATGATTGCTTTTATCTGAAATCTTCTCTTCATTTAAGTAGTTCTAGGTTGTGGTCAGGTTGCATCTTAATCTTCTGTTTGAGACATTAAAAATATAGAGTTCCTTAAATATCTCTTTGTATATTAAAAACTGAAAATCATAATACCATTATAATAATATTTACTTACTATAAGGAGATCAACCCACAATCCTGTGTATGTATATAAGGACATAATTTGAATTGTGTAATTTAAGGATCTACAGAATTTGGGGGAGAGGCAGAAGGAAAGAAAGATGTATTTGCATGATCCTATAACAAAAATATATACCAGAAAATGACATTTCAAAATTAGTAAAAATGATGTCAATTTCTGTCAAGCAGAAAGAACAGGGGATATGAAAACAGTACTCCTGTAAAATTAAGTTAAAAGGCATTTCTTATTATTACAACCCTGACAGCTTTGAGGATTGAGTCTGCAAACTACTATCCAAGGATATAAAAAAAAATGATGATTTTTCTTTTATCAGCCAATAGATACTTCGAAAATATTGCTGGGTACTGAAATTGTACTGTATAAGTAATGTATAAAGTTTCAGTTTAATATCCACTTACTATTTAAGCAGTAGTAAAGATACTGAGTTTTACTAAACATCTCTCCAGACTACAATGGCAGGTAAAGTATAACACACAAGTTTATCAGCCCAGGGATTCCACTTCAACAATTTATTGTAAGTATCATATTTCTTAAAAACTAACATGGTTGCATGCAATTCTCTCAGGAGGAGCTCAGCATGAAACACTGTTTAAAAAAACTTCAGCAGAAAAGTGTATTCATCCTATTTTTCCCATGGACCTCATAATGCAAAAGATATCATCTTGATCACAATGGATACGAACTCTAGGAAATGATTAGTAGTGTACTGCATAAGTGAACCATTGCTTCTCATACTGCACTAGAGAACTGTGGATTACAGTTTATGGGAATTTAAAAGTAACCTTCCTCAACACATAAAATGTAGTCAGAACAGCTACTTAAACACAGAGAGACAAGGAAAAGGTGAGAGGGGCCAAAACTTATATATTTCCCTTCCTCTGTTCTTTTGACAGCTGTACTTAGAGCCAGATTCCATTCCACCTATTCAGCGAGTAAGTGGACTAAGTGAGAGTCTATTCCACCATGCTTCTATTACTGCAAAAACCAGTTACTGCAAAAAGTGGGTGGGTCCTCCTATTCCTTCTCCTCACTGCCTTTCTGGGAATTACATAAATATGAAAGACAAATTAGTTTATCTTTCATCCTTTTGTATTCATAGTTTATGTGACTACTAAAATAAGGTTTTTAAAAGGAAAAAAATATACATGTGCAGTCAGTAATCTGGGTTTTTGGTTGTAGCCATTTTGGAGTCTGAGGAGAGATTTCCTATGCCTGAAAAAGGGTGACTGCAGTGGTGACGTACAGGGGGTGCATGAGGGTGCGAGCGCCGGCTGGGGAGTGAGAGTGCCAGACAGCACTGCAGCCACTTCCAGGAGCGCCACAGCTGCTTCCCAGTCAGCTAGTTTTCCTTCGGTTGGCGAGACTGGGCACAGGGGGACTCCCCGCCTCCCCCCCAAGTCACTGATTGGTTGCTGGGGGGGCATGTGCCCACCCTGACTAAGGTGGCTTATGGGTGACTGCCCCAAAAGCTTACTGAGAACTTTTTTCCAACTAGTTAGTTGGGCTAATAAAAGATATCATGCCTACTCAAAGAACTTTGCCTGAATTTGCACAAATCTAGTTCCCCATTCTAGCTCTAGTATTTTTTTTCTATTTTTTTTCTGTGACAACACACTGTTGCACATAGTCAGTTTATGGGCCACTATAAAGCCGTCTTTTTTTTTTTTTCAATGCTATAACCTGGTCAGTCATTCTGCAATCTGTATTTGTGGAATAAATTGTTCCATCCTATATGTAGGACTTTGCATTTGTCCTTACAGAATTTCATTTGATTGATTTCAAACTATTTTTCCAGTTTACCAAGGTCATTCTAAATCCTAGTTTTACCTTCCAGGGTATATGCAACTCCACTGGCTTGGTGTCATCTGTAAATTCACTAAATTTGCATTCAATCTTATCCTCCTAATCATTAATGAAGATGTTAAACAATCCCAAATTCCATTTGATACCTCTTCCATATCTTGAACTCTGACATTTCATAGTTGCCTTCCACCTTTAAATTAACTAATTTCCCTCAATTTGTTCGGAAAGCAGACCCTCTGAGTCTCTCTCTGTCTCTTGACCCCATGCTCACTACATCCTTTGGCCTCTACACATATTTATTCCTTTGCCTTCCTCTTTAACCTTCCGAAAACAGAAAACAAGCCTACTTGGTTTTCTTTGCACACACAGAAAAAGCCAGCCCTGACCCTGCCTACTTCTCCAACTATTGCCTTCCAAGTGTTGCTAACTTTGCACTAAACTTTTTGATCTATTAAGGATTTTTTAACAATTTATTATGGGTAATCCTGGTGAACTATCTAGTGACATTTGTGATGATTTTACAAGTCTCTCTGTAGGGACATCTAATATTTTTTTGAGTTTGTCTGGAAATTTTTTTGTCTCAAGAGTTGGGAATACTTTCCCTTCCCATTTCTTTCCCTGAACTATAAATATATTAAATATCCAATCTTTAGTTATTCCCCTAAATGCCTTGTCTTTTCCAGTCTGACTTCTGTTTACCTTACTCTAATGAAACCGCGCTCTCTCCCGGTTTTTTCCTCTTCCTAAAAGACTCTTTCTAAGGGTGTCTGCTCCATCATAACTTTCTTTGATTTCTATGATCCACTTTATACTCTATGATCCCCTTCATAGAATCAGATGAAGTAAGCTGCTGCTGATGAAATTTTATGTACCTCCATTTTAATTAGTTCATAAGGCTCAAATGTACTCTGTCCTCTGCTTGAGTTTAGATTAACATTGGTAACTACCTCTCCTTCTTCATACCATCATTCCACCCTCTTCCCAGCTCTCTTAACTCTGGAAAATTGTGTGGCAGGTCAGCAGGGGGTGCTCCTGCGTTGAGCCACCCACCTCACCGCGCCCAACCACTTTTCAGGTTCCGAGTGCCTCCCTTGGGGTGCCTCACATCTGGCTGATCCCCTTCCTGGAGCATACCTACAAGCCTGGGGGTAACACCGCCACCACCCAGAGTCCAGACTGATCTGAGACCTGTGCCATCTGAGAAACACAGGCGTAGTAATCCTTGAGGGTACTTGACTCACTGCAAGAACTTGGGGTGCTTCCCTCAGTCTGAAGCAGAAATAGTGGTCTCCCTTAGTCAGCTGAACCGAAGGGACCCCAAGGCCTAATCTAGACCCTTTTTCAATAAATCTCCCACGGAGATACAAAGGAGAAATGTATTGGTTACAAGGAGTAGGTTTGGAACAGGGTACAGGGTAGAGCAATATCAGAGAAATACCTTAAAGCAAACAGTGGCATGGTAGCCTTTGATCACACATCTGAATTACTGCAAGCTATATATCTTGTTAGATCTCAGGTAGCTTACTCACAAGTATCATCTAGGAGCCAGTGAAGATTCCCTCTGGAGGCAAGCAGTTCATTCATCATGAGTTTCAAGAGAGTGTGGGTTTCAGATGGTCCAGCTTCTCTCTGTGAGTTTCATCATGGCTGCTGCCCCTCCTCCTGGGCATTCCTTTACTTTTATAGCCCTTATGATCTCATTTACCTGATCCAATGAAAGCCATCAATGGTTGGCTGCCATCCATCCAATTTGAAGTGCATCACTGGTTGCCAGGTAAATCGACAGGGTCTTTAGCCCCCTCCCAGTCATGTCAGCTGTGACAGCTGAAATTATGTCTGTGTAATAAAGGGGCTTGCTGAAGGCTTTATGAAAATTAGACCAAGTGTTTTTCTGTATTTGTTCAGATATTAAGCTATATGTTGTTGCTAAAAGCCTAATTAAAGTTTAAGATGTAGTGAGGCCTTGTATAAAGTAAAGCCTAGTAAATTTAGCAAAGCCTTGAAGTAGTAAGGCCCTGTGGCATAGTTAAAATTACCTTATCAAAGAAATGCAAGGCTTGTACAACTATTGGTCAGTCTAAGGACAGTTTAAGTAAAAGGAATCTGAGTGGTACATTATCAAAACCATTCAGAAGCTTTAAATTGGCTGCAATATCTGGAAACCATTCAGAAGAAAGATACAGCTCTGTGAAAAGGAGTAGTTAGCTGTTGCCTGGATCAGTGGGCCTGTGGACCTTGAGGAGCCCAAGGACTGTATTCCAGGGTCCTTCCCAGTACCCTTCGGACAGCGCTGTTCAGGGACCCTGACTTCGCTGAACTTTGTGGAAAGAGAAGCTTGCTGTGTATCAGGCATCAGAGGGGACTGCTGATAAGTTGCCAACGTGGATTGCTTTTGTCTGTCATTGCTTGTTTTGTTACTACGCATAGTTGTGTTTTTGTTAAGTCAATAAACCTTTCTTTCCTTTCTACCCCCGACCATGCTCTCAATCCCGAACCCTTCGCAGGTGGCTGGGACAGTCAGCATTGCTTAGAACAATAGGGAGCTTAAGTCCTGAACTCAGGTATGTGATACCAGTCATGTAGGCAGATGGAGCAGGCTTCCTCCTCCCTCAGAAATGTATCCAGCTCAGGCTACAACTCAAGGTTACCCGAAGCAGATGGGACCAGAGGAGTCTGCCCTCTGCCGTGAACATGG